ATATTCATCTATTAAATTTTTAATTTTTATCTATCATTAAATTTAAAGCAAATATTTAAATTAAATTATTTTTAAATTAATATTTTATATTTATTTTTTTAGTTAAAATTTATATATTTATCTTTTAATTATAATAATTATAAACTTTATTTTAACCTAAGGGCAAAATAGTAATCTTACATAATTATTAATTAAAAAATTCATTTTTATCTATCACATCAACCAATTCACTCACAAACTTTCATAAACTTTCTCTACACTTTCCACTCATTTTTCTTTAATCCAAACAACTTCACTTTTCACTCACTTTCTTTTAAAATTTGTTCTTTTTCACTCGTCATTTTCCATCCTCAAATCCAAACAAACCCTTAATGTTAGATAAAAGCAGAGAAAGAGATTGCACCTATCAAATCCACAATTAATATTGCCCCAAGACGAAACACAGTTTTGTATAGGAATATCATTGGGCAGTTTATTACACATCTCTCACAAATATTGTACCATATTACGTGGCCAAGAAGAAAAGGTTTGTGACTACAGTGATGGAACAATCATCTTTTTTGGGTAGTGTATATGTACTTTTTAATATGCTTTGAATAATAGAAATATGTATCTTTAAATTATTTATAATTTTATATTAAAAAAATTAAATTGTAAAATGAAAATTATAAGTTTATTAATTTTAACCAATTTTTAGTTAATAAATATATATAATATAATTTTAAAAAATTGTAAAAAGAGCGATTGCAATTACGTGAATAATAAATGTGACATTTTCTTAAATATATTTTGAGGTATATTTTGGTGTATATATATATATATATATATAAAGATTCTGATTTAAAAAAATTATATTTGAAGTAATATTTTCACCGATAGTTTTATTTATTCAAAAACATATTTACGCCCATTTTATTTATTTATTGATGTGTATGATTGTTTCTTCTCTAATCAATTTAAATTATCTTTTCATAGTCTTTTATTTTTTTTTACTTTTTTCCCCTCACTTACATGATTTTTTACCCGTGGATATAAAATTTTATCCACTCATTTTTTTTTTACCTAGTTGCATCAATTTTTAATCCATTTTCTACTTATTCGGACAATTTATTTATGCACATTTGAATAGTTTCCTCTTTCATTTTCTTACTCATTTTGTATGAGTTTTTTCATTATTTTATTGATTACATTTTCACTCAATTTTCACTCATTTTTTTAAAAAATTTCCCGATAACTTAAATGATATTTTTCTCACTCATTTTCATTTTTTTATTACTCAATTAAATATATTTCGTTTTCTATTTTTCTTTCATTACAAGAAATATTACATATAGTGACATTTTATAGGTATAATATATGTAGGTATATGTCTATTTGACATATAGTTATACACAATTTTAGTGTTGATTTTGAATGAGATTTAACAACATATTTTGTGTATCACTGTAGTCTATACCCAAAGTTTTTAATAATATACCAACATATATTGTAGTTATTGTGTAAGTAAAAGTAATTTTTAGTGACATGTATAGTGTCACTATAAGGTGTGTGTCACTATATGACAATTTTGTTGTAGTGTCTGCACTTTTATATTTGTGTTATTTTTTTTCTTGACTTTTTTCTTGCTCATTTTATGTGAGTATGGCCCTAAAGATGAGAACAAGTAGGATTTATTATGCGTGAATAGGACATGTGTTTGAATCAATATAATCTATGACATTGATTTTATTGATGCAATATATATATGATATGTATTTTTTAATGTAACAGATGTTTGACCTAAAAAAGTGATAATCGATAGAATAATAATAGTTAAATTGGATGAAATGTGGTGTAATTGTGACATTCTAAACATTATACATGTCTTACTCACATGTTATTATTGCTTGTAAATATACTTAGTATGATTACACATATCTTGTTTACATGTTGGAATTCCAACATCTCCGATGTGTATAAATGAATGTTTAGAAAGTTGTGTAATAAACAATATTGGCTAAAATGTAATCAACCACAAATCTACCTCAATTTAAACATACACAAACATTAAAAAAGATGTTGTTTAAAATTCTCACTTATATGCTTTGAAATGGATATGAGGAGTGCTAGTCAACCTAAAAATGTTTCATGTGTTGGCATCTAAGTCAAACCAAGAAAAATTATCCTTATTGTGTACTTTCAGTCAACAATGGTAATTTCTGAAGAAAAAAAAATGTATTATTAATGTACCTTTCATTTTATTTCTCGTGTTATTTTAATTTAAAATCAATTTTAATAAAGTATTTATGAATTTTTTTCTTTAAAAATTATCAAACAAATATTACAAATATTATTAATTGTCATTAAAAAATTAGATTTATAATATATATACTGTTAAAAAAATAATAAACTTATTTAAATATTAAATAAAAAAATTATATTATTAAAAATAAAAATGTGAAAATAAAAACTGCAATTGAAAATCCAATTATTGATTAACTTATTTCTCAATATAAAAATATAAAAAAATACAAAACATAGGTGAAAAATCAGTTAATAAAAGACTAATTTCTCGATATATTTAGTAAACATAATATTTTGATAAATATATTGAGATATAATATTTTAGTAAATATATTTTTTTTAATATTATGATTAAAAAAATCTCAAATATGCGTACGTAACAATAAAATATTACAAATTATATTTTATTTCCTAAACATAAATATGATAATATTCTTCGTTATTTAATTATAGCAGCCGATATTTAATTGTACCATGATATAATGACACTTTCACCACTGTTTCAAAAACAATTTGGTAGTTGGTACACCAGATTCTGTACGTAAAACATACACTAACACTGCCCAGAGATTTATTTGTTCCTATCTGTTTGTCTCCGAATGACTGCTTTCAACTTCAATTTAATTAGAATATGTGAAAATTATAACGATTTTATACACCATAATTTAATTATGAAATATTATAAATAATTTTAATTAGTTAATGGGATTAAAAATATATATTATATCATAAGTTTCTTGAACGTTTTGAAAAAGTTAATTAAATCTATAAAGAAATTATCCAACACAAAATATTTTAACTAAAATAATAGTAAAGAAATATAAGTTTTATATTTGCGGTTCAAACAGATGAAAAATTAAATAATTTGTTACCCTGATAGACAAGTTGAGCCAAATTGTCTCCCATCAAAATGGTTAACACAAGTGATTTTTCAGCACTTGTATTTTTTAATTTTGGTTCGACAAAAATTATACTTTTTAATCAAGTTTAATTTTTTATATATTTTAACCATAAAATCACAAATAAAAATATTACTTCATATTCAAACTAAACTAATCGCTAAAAAATATTACTATTTATCATAATTTAATTCTTAAAAAGAAAAGAGTAAAGAGGGTTCATAAATGAGCAGAATCCCAAGACATTTTTGATAATTAAAAAAAAAAAAGAAAAAAAACGCGGAATAAAACGTCACGAGTTGGTACTAACATAGTGCGAAGTGACATGTGCAACATCCTAGGACCCACATGTATGTGGAGATGGACGATCCACATCGATGACAGCCCTCACAGGCGGGTGAGTAAATAATTGTCACTGTTCATTGCTCTGCCTCGAGGGCACTGACCACTGCTGGTCAAAAATATGGCACTAAAACTCATTGCCACGCTCTTTCCATTTTCTCACCACAAATATCAAATTCATACCTTTCCTCCTCTTCCTCTCTCTTCTTCACACTCACAATCTCAAGTTCCAATCTTTCCCTTTTTTCGTTAAGTGGGTTATCTTAATTCACTGCTATTGTTCTTCCCTTATTTCTCAGTTCCCACCAACCATCATCAATTCCACTTTATTAGTAGTAGTACTGTTTTTCTTTTTTTGAAAAATTCTCTCTCTGTCTGTGATCTTTTTGTGGGTGGGGCATTTATGACTCGGAGGAAGAGGATATGGTCAACCGAGCAAAAGTGGGGGGTTTGGAGATAATAAGAAAAGATAATGAACTGGGACACGTGCTACCACTTTACTTTAATAAAGTTTCTTAGGATTAGGACTTAGGAAGCGTTTCCTCATCGTGTTTCTCAATGGTGGATTCTGATCTCTCTCAATTCAGCTCCACGCAATCAAGTTAGTGGCCATTTCGCTGTTTCAATGAGTGCTCATTTGACGCCGCCTCTGTATAGCGGTTTTACTGTTTGAAAGTTTGTTTTTTAATTGGAGGTGTTAGTGCCATATTTGGAGCCTGTGATCATGGTGGTTTCGAATTAATCTACTTGGGACGTTTCTTCTTATCTTCTTCCTTGTTCTAGGTAATATATTTATCATTTTCTGTTTCCTATGTGATGTAATTCAACTTACTTTCAAGTTTCAGCCCTCTAATTCCACTTTCGTTTTAGGTTCAAATTGTTTCCAATATGCTGAAGCTGAACTATTGTCATCTATTAGAATTGGTTATTTGTTTTCACGTGCCAAATTTGGCTTCATTTTCTTTTTGGATTATTTCCTTTAGTCTTTGTTTTGGATATATAGTAACACCCTCGCAGTTAATTTCAACGTATATGGACTGAAAGATGAAAATCAAGATTTCTGTTAAAGTTCATTTGTACCAGTAGTATAGTATTGTTTATGTAATAATGATATGATACCATAGTTTTACTTTACCCCTACGTAAATCACTAAATCTTCTCTTTTCCTTCTTATGCTTACTTTCATGTTGGTGTGGACCGGGACACTCTTTTTTTGGTGACTCCTTAGTATTTGGTATATAGCTTTGAATTTTGCAGGCCAAAGATATAATAGGAGTTAGATATTTCACTTGCAGTAATTTTTCTTTAAATCTATTTGCATGATTTTGCGTAAGAAGTGAATTGACTAGCTTCTAATGTTCTTTGTTTACTTTCCCTTTCTAATTTGTAGCTTAGGATACTCCCCTGAATGGGAACTGATGGCAGTGAACTGGTAGACACAGTACCAAATCCTCGCTCCTTTAAGGTACAGGAAAGAATTGAATTTAATATGTTATATTAAGGATTTTTTTTCACATTTTACATTCAATTCCTTTTGTATTTGTATTGTTTAAATTGATTCAATTTTGATAAAAAGAAAATATAGAAGCCTTTTACTCGGTCAATCATTAAGTTCTTCTTTTCAAATTAATTGCCTTTGCTTCTTTTTTTTTTTATCCTGGTAATTTGTTTGACCTAAATGAAAAAGCCGTTGACTTTGTGATTTGCCTTGTACTTTTAGGATATGACCCACTTTTTCAACAGAAAAAGTTCCATGGACACCCAAATGGATGTCACACTGAGAGAGGGAAAGAAATAGAAGAGAAGGAAGTGATAGATATGATAAGAGATATGATATAACTAAAAGAGAGAAATGAGGAATGTTATTTTGTTTGCACTGTTAGGGTGTCTAAAAATATATTACTCTTTTTCAACTACTGTTGCATATTGGAACTAAGCATTTTATTGATTGATTGTAATTTGTGTTAAAAGGTACATCATGCAATGTGCACAGATCTCAGGAAATTAGTTGATAGAACCTTGCGGATACTTCCACGTATAGAGGCAGTGCGCCCTCCATCCTCAGGAATAAAGGCTCTGTGTTCGCTAAGAAATGCAATTGATAAAGCCAAAGAACTCCTGCTACACTGCTCAGAATCTAGTAAACTCTACCTGGTGTGTAGTTCTTTTTATTATTTCAGCTAGACAAAGCTATATAGTGTTTTGTAATCTGCATAAAATAATATCTTAAACAACTCAGGAATGATGGCATCATTTCTTCTTTATGAAATTTTACATTTTTTTTAAAACTTATTATCTTATGTTGTACTATCATATCATACTTAATCAAATAAGTTTATGATACGTAGAGAAAGATTGAGCAACTGAAGTTACATATAATATCATCATTGATTATATTAGTAACGTGCTGCATGTTAATTTAGTCGGTTCTAATATCAATTTTAGGCAATAACAGGGGAGTCCATACTCTCAAAATGCCAGAAGGCAAGAAAATCATTAGTGAAAAGCTTACTCCAGATTCAGAATATGGTTCCTGTTATGTTGGCTGCAGAGGTTAGTCAAGTTAACACCACTATCCATTTTTATGTGTCTTCTATACTGCTTTAGATTCTTTTCTTGTATTTCTTAGTGCCTGCCTACGACTCAGGCACTTCTCATAGAAGTCATTTGGTTATTAAACATTATATACATTCCACACAACGCTGAATTTGTTTTCTAGTTGAATATTGTGGATGGCTGCATATTTTGGGATAGGATTTATTGTTGTTCTGAAGTATTTGATATTCATTTTATTTTATTCACCATATTGGCTCAACTATATATATATATATATATTTGGAATGTCAGTTTTAATGTTTTAATTGGCATTGCAGATTTCTCGACTAATTGATGATCTTGAGTGTGTGACATTTGTCCTGGACCCTGCTGTAGAAGAAGCTGGGAGGGTGTTGAGCCAATTGCTCCAGCCATCTTCTTCAACCTCAGATACAGATTCAATGGAAAATTTTGAAATAAAGTATTTTCAGTTTGTAGCAGCCAAACTTAGTATTACTTCCCCAGCTGCCATCATAACAGAGAAACGATCTATTGAGAAGTTGCTAAAAAAAGTCAAACCAAAAGAGCAGACAAAAGAGATTGTCTTGAAAAATCTTTTGTTTCTCCTGCTAAGCCACCGAAAATCAATCACGGGAAAACAAATGGAGGTCTATTCTCAAAGTGAAGGACCAATCACAACTGAGAACTCTGGTCATGAGTCTCAAAGAACACTTCATGTTGAGTCAGACCCATACTTGAACCATGGTCATTACAGAACTCCTGCCAGTGAGTTGGGTAGACTTACACCTCCTGAGGAATATACATGCCCAATATCTTTAAGGTTGATGTATGACCCTGTTGTCATTGAATCAGGAGAAACTTATGAAAGGATGTGGATACAAAAGTGGTTTGATGAGGGTCATACTATAAGCCCAAAAACTAAAAAGAAACTGGCTCATATGGCATTGACTCCAAACGTTACCTTAAAGGACTCAATATTGAAGTGGTGTAAAACTAATGGAATCTCCATTCCTGACCCGAGTAGGCATGCACAAGATTTACACTCATGGGAAGCTTCCTCCAATTCCGTTAGGAGTTTTGCAAGTTCTTTGTATGATTTGAACTTCCAAATGGATCTTAGTAACGTATCACTTGGATCATTAGATACCAGCTATAATTCAGATTCCTCCCATGCTAAGCCCAATCATGGCTTAAATTTGATGTTGAACAAGACAAGTGACAATTCTCGTGGGCATCAATCTCATGCACAGATACATGAAGCTGATATGCATTTGTCTAAACTCCATGAACTGCAATGGGAATCTCAATGCCAAGTCATTGAAGATACGCACATAGATTTCAAATGCAATTGCCAAGCTTTTTGCTCTGTGTCATCTGAGAATTTCATTGACCCACTCACAAGATTTCTGAGCACTGCATGTGAGAGACAAGATGTAAAAGCTCTGAGAGCAGGAACCATGTTGCTATTGGAATTTATGAACTGCTGCAGGTATAATTTCTTTCGCCCTTGCAATTTGGTTCTTGGTTCATACCTAGTTATTTAGTTTGGCTTAGAATTGTTTGATTTAATTTTATTTTATTTTTTGTAAGTTGTTATGGAATTGACTAACAATTATTCATTGAAAAGCAAGATTCACTTGGTATAGAGTAACAAGGAAAGCTTGTTAAACTTTTCCTTGATATTAAAACTCATTCAAGTCCTTGATAGATACTCTAAGATTATAGTTTCTTCCAATTTTAAATGTGTATTTGATGGATTTGCTATTTTGCTTCCCAATGGAAGTGAAAAAGGTTTCTTTCTGATTTTAAAAAGTTGTCTTGCTTTATCTGTGCTCCTGTTTTTGATATTGGAATGAATTCTCTGTGGCTTTCATGCAGAAATGGTATGACCAATTTAAGTGAAGATACATGCATTATGTTGGCAAGTCTTCTTGAAACAGAGGTGATTGGAGAAGCTCTTGCCATAATGGAAGAACTGTCAGGGAATTGGAATGAAAAAGCCAACACTGCAGCTTCCAGTGTGCTCACCTCTGTTTCAAAGATCCTTGATTCTGGTAACAAAGAGTTTCAACGAAAAGCTATTAAAATAATGTATAATTTTTCTTCCAATAGTGAAATTTGTTCCTACATGGTATCACTCGGATGTATCCCAAAGTTACTGCCATTTTTTGAAGACAGGACCCTTTTGAGAGACTGTATACTTATCTTGAAAAACCTTAGTGATACTAAAGAAGGTAGGGTAACTTTTGTTGAAACAAAAGGATGCATAGCTTCTGTTGTTGAAATACTTGACACTGGCAATGATGAGGAAAAAGAACCTGCACTAGCTATTATACTCTCTTTATGCTCTCAACGTGTGGAATACTGTCAGATGGTTATGTATGAGGGGATTCTTCCTTCTCTTGTTAACATCTCTAATAAAGGAAGTGATATGGCGAAGGCTTATGCGGTGGAACTGCTCCGCCTCTTGAGGGATGATGACGAGTTAGAGAATGGAGATTGTTATGAGACAAACCCCAATGCCTCTCAAGATTCTAACAATCAGTATCAAGAAAAGAAATCATCAAAGAAGTCGACAATTTTGAAGAAACTGTCACGCTTCTCAAAATCCAGTTCAGTTGCATCAAAAAACAAGAGATGAAACTGAATTCCCATGCATTTTGACCTTTTGTATATATCCTCCAGATCCTTTTCATGGGGCAATAGATTATGTGCTTGATAGGAGACACTTTGGATTGCTGGATGGCAGATAGGATTTTTAGATAGGGTCTTTTAATCTTTGTGGTGGATATTGGTTTAGTCTTTCATGCTCTTGATGCCAAATCTCCTCTTGCAGCATTTGCAGTCTGCTACATAATTTTGCACAGTAACTGCTAACTGTATAAAGTATAGTTCTGTTTTATGGTGTATAGTTATTTTGACATGCCAAGTCAGAGATGGAGAAGATAGTTGAGAAGTTCTCCTTTTTCTCCTCTCCTCTCAAGATGTTTGCTGTCTGTGACTTGGTGGTCACGGATTCTAGTTATAGGAACAGCCTTAGTAGTTAAGTCATTGAGCTGCCTTTCCATTTCTTATTGTATTTGTATATGTTAAAACAATATATTTTGAGCATTGATTTTAGTATAGATATTTGGAAATGGTTTATATTGTTCACATATCACACTCATTGTTTATTTTAGCTTGTTTTATGTTCAACACAATTTTTAATTGAAAACATCCTAGAGAGTTTAAAACACAGTATTATTTCTCTAAAAATTAATAATTAACAAACATTCGCATAATATTTACAACTTTTTCTTTTAAAAGATTGGCAACCGAGTTAGAAGTTAACCTATCTTAGAGTAATAATATAAATAACATGCTATGCCAATCCTATATTTTAAGTACAGAATTTGTATGTGAATGTATAGTTTTGTATGTAGTTAAGGGCAGATAGCCATGATAGTTAAGGGCAGAATGCTTTGTTTAAGTATGACACTGAATATTATGCATGTGATTTTTTTTTTTGTTTCATGGACTTATGGATGTGAATATGTAATTATAAATAAACGAATGTCAGTTATTAGAGTATATTATTCTACTTTAATGAGAGTGCCTGATGATATGAGTGGAACATTATGAACAATTAAATTCTGCTGACAGGCAATTTAGAATTCTTGTCTTGCATTGCATAATTAGGGGGATAGGGATTTATTTTATCACTATAAAAAATTATCATTTTGAAAATGAAAATTAAACTTAAAGTTCTCGTATATTTACTCCGATCCTCTCACACTAGTGGATCAGGAATACAGGTGATACTTCTCAGGTTTAAAGATGATATTATAATATTGGTTCTCATAAATGTGTTTATAAAATAAAAATATTTAATATTAAGCATGTGACGTGAATCAATTAATATGAGATTATTCTATCATGTGATATTGAGTTCAAGTCTCAAATATGTAACTGCAATTGTGTTAAATATTTGAAGAAAATATTTGTAACTATAGTGTTATCATCCAACTCTAAAAGAATTTATTGTGTTTGGATTAAACTTTGATTCTTATGTATGGTCATATGTCCAAAAATATTGTTGAAGTCATGTAAGTTGACAATAGTATAGTTATTTCAACTATTTCAATTTTATTTAATTGCAATAATTGTTTAACAACTTGATTTACTTATTTCACAATATTCTCTTCTTTAAATTAAGTTTGTATCATTTGAAGCATTCTCTTCAACTTATAAAAAAGCTCTATAAAAATATTTGCAATTTGCTCTTTATTTTACAATAATGAATCATTTTTCCTTCTTTTGCTATTGTCTCTCAAATTTTTATGAAATCTATATTTTTGTTTTGATCATGTAGGAAAATCTAGATGTTTGCATAATATAATGGTTGTCTTGTCATGAAAAAATATATATTTTTGTGACAATATTTTGTTAGTCAAAATGCCTAGATCTAAAAGAAGGTGAATTGGATTGTTTCAAAATTTTAAGGTCTCAAATTTGCTTTCAAAAAATCTTTACAATTTTATTGTTTCAATCTTTATGTTAATTAAATGCATACAAGATTGAATGAATTAATCTTTAATCTTTATTATGATATGATATTTTTTATTTATTAGAAATTATAAATGATCACAATAATGTTTGAATTTAGAACTTTTTGTATATTTATTTTCATGAGTGGAATGATGTGTGACAAAAAAAAATGGATATAAATGTGTGATAACTATTTATCAAGAATTGTATATATATCAACACAAACCTTGAATTTAGAGTTTAAGAAGAAAAGAAAAAAGAAAAAAAAATGACTCCAAAATTTATATACTTCCATCACCTAGTGTGATTTAGATCTAATCTCTAATTCAATAATCGGGAGTATTTACTCATCAACACAATTGTTTACTAATTAAATACTGTGAATATCAAATAATATATACAAGAATTTTGAGCTCTTTAAGAACTTCTTGCAACCTAAAATGTAGAAATCTACTACAACTCAACTTTTTGTGATAATCTATCTCAATTCAAATAAAATTACAATCTTTACTTATAAAGTTTGTAATTTAAAAAATAGTTTTTTATTAAGGAATATTCACCGCCTAATGCGAGATAACTTCTCTCAAAAATTTAATTTTTTACATACACAAAAGTTATAATTCAATTTCTAATTGTCTAGTTAAACAATGTAAATTCTTTATCACTCGCGCCAACTTAAAATGATGAATATCAACCTATAAATTTTAAATATTTAATAACATAAGAAGAAAAAAAAATACATTTATACTATGTGTGAAAATTTGTATTTATACATATGAAAGGTATATATTTACAACATCTTTATATATGATTATTTTGTAATTTTTTAAGAAAAATAACCTTCATAAAAAAAATCATATTTAATACAGTGATCAATTTTTGTTATAGAAAAGAAAAATTATGAGTAAAATTTTAAAATTTATAATGAAGACTTTTTGAACTACTTTTTAATTTAATATAATTTAACTCTCATCTATAATAATTCGCAAATAACTTCATATTCTTATACAATTTTATCATAAAGATATTTTAAAGATAATTTAAAATAATAAATCAGCCCAAAATTATTTTTTATCTAACAATTCCAAATATAAATTTATTAACACTTTAGCATATATAATAATACTTAAGATAAATGGTTATGTTATATAACTAAAATTTATAATATTCTTAAATATACAAATTATATTATAATCAATATTTTTAATATATAAAATTATATTTTATATTTATGACAAATAGTAGTAATTAATTAATTATAAATATTTTGATTATTATTCAAAAAGAAGTTAGGAGTTGATCCACGCTTAAGCAAGATCAGGGATTCGAATCGTGCATTGTGTATGCAGTCGCGTTAAACCTTGGAGTTAGTTATCTCACCCTTTGAGATGCCTCCAACATAGCGAGGAGATTAATCACTGCTATCGATGATGGATATTCTAAAGACGAACTAAAAAAAAAAAAAAAAAGAATTCCATGGGCCATGACCCATCATCTCATGCTCAAGAGTTAGATTCGAGACGAGCATTTGCGTTTTCTCATTTTCTCATTTTCTCTCTCTCAATCGTTTCCTTCTAGCAGTTGCAAGTTTGAACTTTGAAATGTTATAAAAGCGGCAAAAGAAAAGAGAGAGGTAGGGTTGGAATTGAGAAAAGAGAAATGGCGGCAGAATCATCAGAGGGCGAAGAAGAAACTAAATTGAGCGGAAGCTACCAATTGCTCACAATCCCCGATGACTTAACGGAAATGGGAAAGAAAGCCGCTTGGAGTGTCAGTTCCTGCAAACCCGGTAACGGCGTTTCCTCTCTCCGTGACGACAACTTCGATACCTATTGGCAGTGAGTTCCCACTCCAAACTCGTGATCACTGCTTAATCTGTTTCATCCTAACCACCCTTTTCTTCCTTTCAGATCTGACGGCGCCCAACCCCATTTGGTTAACATTCAGTTTCAAAAGAAAGTTAGACTTCAAGTGAGTACACCCTTTTGTTAAAACCAATTAATAAGCAACAAAAAAAAAATTATGAATTGACCAGGTTTGTGTTTGAAAATCAGTTGAGTTCAATAATTTAACTGAAATTTGGAAAGAAAGAAAAAAATAGACTTGGTGTTTTTTGTGTTGAAAGTGATTTTAAATTGATATTCAAATTTAATTGTAGTGGTTAAGTATTCTAGGTTTGTACTTTGTAGAATGGTCTATTTAGTCATAAATCTTTGAATCTTGTATTTGATCTTTGTCGTGTGCAAAATTGTTTACGACTAGTGATAGTCGTTATCACAGTATTGCGAACAAGATTAATCTAGAAAATACCCTAGGAACAAAAGATTAATGAAAAGAAGGGTATTTTCTTCTTGTTAATTTTGTTGGATCGGTTTGTTTTTTGGTTGTGGCAGTTAATTGTGATGTACGTGGATTTCAAGCTTGATGAGAGTTACACGCCGAGCAAAATTTCCATCCGTGCCGGTGATGGCTTTCACAACTTGAAGGTAATTTTATTGGTTTGGGCTTTTTTGATTGTGTTTTGGTGGTTTTTGTGGTTGGTGATGTCTTTTGGAACGGTTTCAGGAGATTAGAATCGTGGAAATTGTGAAGCCAGTTGGGTGGGTTTATATATCCTTGTCTGGATTTGATCCTCGGTGAGTCTTTGTTTTTCTGTTTTGCAATGGAAGAGTTTGTTTGTTGAATGTTCTGCCATCCTGTGTTTTTGGTTGTCTTTTGCTTAATAGTGTTCTGCCTGTAGCTCATCATGGATTGTGTTGTAATTTCTAATAAATTTTAGTCAATAGTAATGAGAGTGTCAGAGAATGTTGCTAGCATTATCTTATTTTTTAATGGGGGAACAATGGCCACAATAGTTTAATGTAGGGAATTTAAGGGAGTCTCGCGAAGGAACTAATCTGTGATTTTATAAATTTCTACTTTAGAGTGCCACTATAGTTTCGTACTTATAATGGTTTTAAGATGTTTCTGAGTTTGGAGTGATGAAATTGTGGCGAGTATTCTATATTTTGGGGTTTTGACAAATATTATGCTCAGGGCTTAGCACAACCCTGCTCTTCTAATCGGGCTTGGGACCGGCTATGAGACCACAAATAGAGTTATACTGTTGTGTGTGTGACTGTGATCCATATAATTCATCTCACCTAGTAGGATAAAGGCATAAAGCTACTGTTGTTATTGTTCGAGTGATGAAATCGACTTGGACCTTTTTTTTCCCTTTCTGATCATTTTGTGTCATTGGGGCAATACACTATGCCTAGTGATTTCTAAAGCAGTGACCAAATTCTTGTCTTTTGTTGCAGAAGTATTACTGATTTTTCTTGTAATTCTTACTCCCTATATACCTGGATTTGTGTTCAAGGCTTTGACGGAAATTGGGGATGTGTTTCCCAATAGTAAACTGAAAAATGGATAGGATATGTGGTTGTACTACTCGAATGTGTTTGTTAATATATACATGAACGTAATAAACAATTCTTGTTTCATTTGTTGAACCACTGGATTGTGTCTTTGATTGTTAGCTTGAAATTGAATATGTCAGGGAAGCTTCAATGATTGTAACTGAAACAATGTAATATAACTTATAGATTGTTTCTCCTTCATATCAGTACATTTGATAGAATCTTTTAATTGCTTTTCACCAATCACAGGGAAACCTTTGTGAACACTTTCATGTTGCAAATTGCTGTGTTGTCAAACCATCTCAATGGAAGGGATACTCATGTGCGGCAGATCAAAGTTTATGGGCCTCGACCGTGCGTCTCTTTCTACTTTTGAAACAATTTCTTAGATACAGTTATAAATATGTTTGGTAATGTTTTTATATGAAAAAAACTTGTTGCAGGAACCCTATTCCGCATCAGCCATTTCAATTTACTTCAAGGGAGTTCATCACCTACTCTTCAATAAGATGAGTGGTTATGGAAGGAATTAAGAAGTCAACCCAGTGTTAAATTCAAGAATCACTAGACACTGAAATGTCAAAGTATACTTCACTTCGATATTCATCTTAAAAGTTGTCATCAGTAAATGTAACTATTAGTGATTCAGTACCCTATGTGTCTTGCAAGTATTAATAATTTGTTTAGATTTGCAAGTGCTCTGTAGTAGCTACAGATTCGGGGTCTGGCTTGCTTGAAGGGTATTCTATATTCATTAACAAAATGATATTTCCTTCGTGTGAATTATTTATCATCATAATTTACTTTTGACAGGAAAATTATAATGAAATTGACACTAGCGCCAAGACAATATTGGGTCGTGTTTAAACTTAAAAAAAATGTTTATAAACAAGTACTTTTAAAAAAACAATAATTCTTTAAAAAAACAGATAACAGATAGGAGATGATTCTTAGAAAAACAGAAATCTAGGTAATTAAATAATATGGTTACAGATTAATGGTAAATTATAATAAATTCACTTTTCATATCACTTGGCTTCTCTATCTTCCGTTTTGACCTTTTCCAATTTTTGGATTATTTTGCCTTTATATGTTATCATTCTGTTTTATTGATTTTTTACACACTAACTTGGATCTTTTTCAAATTTCAGGCATAACCTACACCAGATGTAGGCAGTGAAATAAAAAATGTGTTTTGGCGCAATTAATAAAATTGAATATGTTGACTTAAGTTTGGGGTTTGTTTCTTGCGTATAATGACTTTTTCTTTGTAGGTTACTTGAAAGTATTGCTATGCATTTTACTCGAGACGTGTTCTTTAAATCATAAAATAGGACGATCTTTTCTTCTCTTAAACTCTGTAACAAAACATACCACTTTGATGAGGTACATGAGTCAATAGCATATAGAATTTTTATTTTGGCTAACTTATGTTGATTGTTAATAATCTTTTTATTACGTAGATTACGTAAAGTTTTAATTCTAATCGGATAATAGTACTAAAAATATCTTATAAAGTTTTATCCTTAATAATAGTACCGTGGAAGTTTACTAGCACTGGACACTTTTTTATTGCATAAACTTAAGCTACATCGGTAAACAAAACCTGTACCGGAAATGCTAATCAGATTGAGTGTGATAAAAGTTAGTACCTATTGGTAAAAAATAAAAACAATTGTGTATGCATATAAATGTTTTCAAAATCAGGTTAATCATTAAAATGGTCAAGACATTATTTTTTTATTTTATGTGTACAAAGACATTAATTTATTGTTTATTAATTGAATTGTGGTCAAATAATATATTAATATTATAAAAATAGATTTGATGAATATTTAAAATAGCATAAAATATCTTTTATGCATATGTCATAAAAATAAGCATTGGTGCATTCACTAAAAAAATAAATAAGCATTGGTGGACTAGTTTTCACCATTTATTATGATTGAATAATATCTAAATGTCCCCTACACACAAGGGTGATTGAGATTCGACACCTTCCATCCCGAGGTCTTGGTTTGTCATTGCATCTTGTCTTATACAACCATGATGAGTGAATTATTTATCTTTCCTTTAGACAGCAATAATGTTCAAAGTTGAGATTCGACTTATTTGATTTTGATCCTCCTAAGAGTTCCTACATGTGTTGACGTTAATGGAGTACAAAAACAATAATACTTAAATGAACCAGGGCAAAAAATGAGACAGTGAATATATCTACTTAACGATGAGGGTCAACGATCCTTGTTATACAGCACTATGGTTATCTTGAATAGGAAATTTGGCTGCCTTGTTACTCCAAATAAGAGACAATCAAAAGTTCAAAATTATCTTGACACACAATTCGGATGCTTGTGTTTGACTTCCATTCTTAGATTTGTTAATCAATAGTCTTTAAGGATAAGATTCACATATGTAACGTTGTAAAATTCATATTGGACTGATTCATTTAACTAGTGAATCATTTAAGTAACTAGTCTATTTAATAAACTGAATTAAATACAATTCCAAACTAATGTAACACTAATGTGACTCGATATTTTTAGTGAAAATTGGTCAATTGGCTTCCAACATAACACATTACATGTCAATTCATAAGTTAACTAACAATATTAACGTTTGAGTGACAATACAAACCAAAATGAGTAATAAAAATAAAAGCTAGGGATTAATTTGTCATTTTTCGTATGTCAAAGACTACTATAACAATGTCTCACAAAGTTGATGTCCAAAATGATACTTTGCTCTTATATATAATATGTATATATAATATATATAGAGAGATCAAATTACCTTGATGGAACTTTTATCAATTAGTGCATCATTAAATAATTTTATATAAAAAGTGAATTTAATTAATTCAAATGTTGTATTATAACTTTATATAACGTTTTCTTTTATCTATTGAAATTATAATAATAGTATCAAGGTTTGAATCTTAGACTCTGTGCATCCTATCCCAACATATTATCTTAAATGTACATACCAAATTTTGTTAAAATTGGATAATAATAAGAGGATAATCAAATTATTCATATTTTAATAAAAGAATATATTATGTCAATTTTGATTTATATGAATGAACTATCAAATAATTTTATATTAATATAAAATTTTGTATATATGATCTATCTAAAAAATTCAATTCAATTATTAGATCAACTAAATTCACTTTTGACATAAAATTATTGAATAATGTAATAATTATAAAAGTTACATCGGTATAACTTGATCTTTGTATAAAAAAGTATTTTAATGTAATTAAGAATAAGAAAAATGAATATTTACCCATTGATATCATGGATGATCAAAACTATAACACACCAATTATGTAAATTTTTAAAAATGTCGCACGACTTTTTTATTTTTTAATGTAGCTACATGATATTAAATCATAAACCCTTAATATATGGTTGTATATCGCAAATTTATTGTCTCCCCCATATAAAAAATAACCCTCTTACTAAATATGCCCATATTATAAGAATCAATTCAATTTGTGTTGGTTTAAGTTCAAACAATAAAAAGTCAAGAACCAAACCAATAGAGATCATGTTTCATCAATTTGATTCAAGTTGTGCTTGATTGTTCGAAAGAAGCAATCCAATTCAAATAGTATAATTTCTTTCATTGTGTTGACTCGATCAAATAAATTTCTCTATAAAGGATCTTGTCATGTACATGATAGGTTGTGTGCAGGCTCTATGAGCATCTTACTCCTCGTTAATGTTTAGGTTCTTACTTAATATCTAAGATCTATTAATAAAGGAAAAAGAAGACAAAACTTGCACGTCACTTTATCAAGCAAAATTTGAACTTCAGAGGATGTAATCAGTGCCGAGAAGACGAGAGTAGAATAGGAGCACACCGATTGATCAACGGATAAAAGTAAAGTGCAGTTTGTACTACTCTCAAATTAGAATTAAAATTTCACTTGGATAATCTATACATAAATGCATATTACCGAGATTTACATTAAATATAAATACTTATTACCAAAAAATCACAATTCTAATTTAAAAACAACACAACAATAACACAAGTATTATATATAAGTTTTGTCCAATCAATATCAACTTTACTGTGTTTTAGGTTTGAATAATTTACTGTTTCCAATTATGTAATAGGCCTTTGGATTAAAAGAAATTTTATTATACAAAGATCAAATACTATGGACCTATTTAAATATAAACTAATGTTTTTTAGAATTTCTTTACAGAAACTTGTATCCAATCGGACTTTTGTATATATTTTATTGGATCAATTCCTGATTTTTATCATTCCAAGAAAATTTACATGCGTAAGTAGCTTTTCCTTGCTAGTGACCTATTAATCTAATACTTCAACCAAATCAACCCACGCGCATTCTCCCATATTTGAGTCATGGATCCTTTTGAGCTGATTTACAGACCCTTATTGGCCAGCTTTCAACAATTGAACCTGGATCTGGATTCAGATCCAAAACAAAACTCCTATTCATGTAATAAATTATAAATTTATTTCAAAGTGTAGGGTAGGATGGAACCAGTTGACCCATACCCGCATTTTGTACCATGAGTCTGAATGAGATTGTCAAGTTGAACTCAATCAGAACTGAAGTCAACCAATGATTCAACGGTTACCTGAACGAGAGCACGGAAAGAGGGACGATACAAGTCACTCTCCGAGAGCATTCAAGGAGCGATGATATTGAGCTCTTGCTAAAAGAATTGTATAATGTATTAATGTTATCATCATCTGCAAAGAATATCCACAACTGAAATTTCAGTATTTAAGCAAATCAAAACATTCGTGAGTGAGGAATACCATAAACATATATAGAATTCACTAAAGTTCATTTAATTTAATTTTACAGGACCACGAAACAACATATAGAACAAATTCCAGAATCAACAACAAATTCAAGGGGAGAATACAAACGGCTGCACAGCTAATATTTTCAGCAGCATACCACCATGATTGACAATCAATAATCACAACGTCGTTACACTTCTCATTCACAGGCTGGTTTAGTGTCAAAGCTGCTCAAGCAAATGGCAAATGCTTGGAAGGTAGATAGTGGATAACAGTAATCCATGGTGAATATGTCTTTTCCAATCTTTCCAAACTGCAAGATTACCCTTTCTTGCTCCTCAGCAGAAATATTATGAGATGGATCAACAGCAGCTACAAGTTGAAAGTTCTTAACAGAAGCCACTGAAACACGACCTTTGAAGTTTAGGCACCAGCACTGTAGCTGTTCATGCCACCTGGGAGCCTTGTTTTTTAGTGCTAACGGCTCAATTGAGCCTTGATTCAATACTGGTTGCTCTGAATAGCTTGCAGAGCTTAAATCTGTAATTGGAACTTTCTTTTTGATAGCTGGTGATGGAAAGAAAGGTTCATCAAAAAGTTGAGGGAAAGATGTTGGAGTTGGGGCATTGCCCCCTTCCTGAATAGCTGAGACAGGTATGGAGTTCATGACACATTGCATTTTTCTTGGCCCTCTAGTGCAGAGGACGTTCAGCTCATAGGAAACAGTGCTAACAATATAGCTACAAGCTGGAACTCTTGGTGACACCTGTTTAGAATGAAATCTCCTACTAGATTGACAATTTTGTTGAAATGCAGCATCGTGTGGAGGTTGACTGTCATGTATGGTGAACTTGGTACCCAAAAAGTTAGACCTGCCAAAAGGGTAATGTCAAGTTGCAGTTGCACAGAAGATGATAAGAGGCAAGGTGTAAATTGATAAGAAGGTATGTAAAGTTTCTGTTGACCAAAAACATACCTCAGTTTACCAACATATTTGCTGCTGGCTCGAGAAAAATCATCTGCAGCCAAGGATATGACAAAGTCGGTGCCTGTTGCCCTTCTTATCCTCTTGGCAGCTAATAACAACTTATTACTATCATTCTCTGCTGTACAATTAAAACCAAAACAAAACAAGCTTCTCAAATATCATATCAAGAACTAGTTTCACCAAACTTCAAAGATGGATCAACAAACAGATCATGAAAGGAGGAAAAAAGATAAGATTTGGTTTTGCCGGTATCCAAAGGTTTTAAGGATAATGCTGTAAATATAAATTATAAGGATCTATGAAGCACCAATTTCGACTCAGACACCGGAACATGGTTAATATCCAAAATATAAAACACAAGGCCATAACATATATATATATATATAGATTACAAATTTTATATGATAATGACCCTTAGAAGATGAAACATCTTATAAAAGTTAAAACAACCAGTAATTCCTATGAAAACGAACTTCACAAAAGATAAAAAAAAGATACAAGCCTTATAATATTTATAAATAGGTTGACTTTTCAATTTTTTTTTATAATAGGAGCATTAGATAAGTGTTTAGCTAAGAACAGGTGTTGGCTTACTCTCTTGACTCATGTCCAAGTCATGTCGAAAAGGTCTTCACACTATATCAAAGAGATCTCAGAAAAGAAAAAAATTAATTGTGACATGGTGGCAAAGCATGTCTAACAAGTGTCATCTTTGAAATGTGTCCGACACACTAATACAATATTATGTAGATGTGTCGGTACTTCATAAATAAGGATACCGGGTACTACATTTGAAAATGAAAATATGATGATGATGAAATCAAAAGAAAAAAAAATATGACGCTGACACCTAAAATATAAATGACAATAAAACATAAAAAATAATAAAAAATAAAAAATAAAAACTTGAAGTTCAACATTCATAGTCATTAATGCCAAGCTTTGAAGTTGTGATTTTAAAGATAAGAAATTTGATATACCTCAATTTTAGAAAAGGAATGGAATGTTTCCGCAATGAAATAACTTACATGGAACCAGACCAAAGTACAATAGATATGTAGAAGTTTCTTTGTTCCTCCTGATAAAGCACTGTATTGGAGAATCACGGGGACCAGGCTATTCGTACACCAAGAAAACGAACACAAGAAACATTAGAACCACAAGGGAAAAGGAGAACATTAGGCCAGAAAAGGGGTGAAGAATTTATTACCTGCTTCAATGAAATAGGAAATGTGATCCTTCCACATTGTTCAGGAGTCTTGACAATCTCTTTTGTAATAGACCTCCATGATTTACATACCGAAGCACAAAAGACAACAACAGCACGGGCAGGCCAAGAAGTCTCACTCTCTTCAACCCTCCGTATTATGTCTAAAAGTAATTCTGATGGTAGATTTGCCCATTGTCCCTGTTGAATAAGTTCAGATGGTGTTACAAGAACATCTGGAGCTACATAGGACTTTGTCCTACTGAGCCGACGCTTGCTTTCTGCACCCCGCTTTGATGTGCTGCCAATTCCATCTCTCATCTCCTTGAGTTCACGGACTATGCTTCTCAACGACATGTTCTCACAGCTTACGAATCTTCTTCACAAGTCACAACACAAAACTGCACCAATCCAAAAAAAAATTAGATACTTCCACATTCCATTCTGGTCCTGGGGAAACATACTTTAATTCCACTGTAGTTTTCTCATACTAAAAAGAATTACAAAGACAGACTGATAAGTATATTAAATTAATTACAGTCAACCTTATAAGTTCTCATGTAATTAGTTCATTAAATAAGCACTTAATTAATGTTCTGTTTAAACAAACTTCTCCATAAATACTTATAAGAGAAAAAACAAGAAGCTAAACTAAATTGAGTTTTTCTCGTAAATTAAAATCAACTTATGCACTTTACTTTTATAAAAGTTCTCTCATCTATCTTCTCCAAAAACTAATCTGCATAAGTTAACTTTTTTAACTTATGAAAAAGCTCAAAGCATTTTATGCAAAGTGTTTATAGGGAAACATATCTAAATAAGGCCAAGTTAAATAAATAATCATCTAGTTCCTCTTAACAGATATACACCGCATGTAGACATGGCTCTACATTCAATGCTTACAGCTTCAAGACAAGAACTAGAAACAAGCCAAGTCCAGAATTAACTACTATCGTGTCATAATCACAATAATTTAATAATATCATCAAGCTTTATGCTTTACTACTGACAAGGTAATACATACAAAACAAAAATGTTGCGCTAATATAAGTCAAAACTCATCAACTCCACAGTCCTTACAAAATGCTAACACATTTTGTCATCAAACATCAACACGAGGAAGCCATAATCAATTCTTATCCACCTACCAAAAATAATAATATTAACAAGGATAATAAATAAAATAAAATAAATTGACCACCGATCTAAGAAGAAAAGCATAAAAATCGCTATCGAGAAATCGCAGCGAAAATTCGGAACGTTGAGAGTAAAAGCGTAAGAGAGAACAGAAGGAAGCTTCTAGAATGCGGATCCGGAAACACGGAAATCGGAGCAATAAGAGGAAGCTTGAAACGGCGCGTTCTCTGATTTTGTGGCGAAAGTAAAAGGAAAGAGGAGTAGTAGAAGTTGTACCGTGTGTTACTCCTCCGCCACTACCAACCGCCGGCCACCGCCACCGCCATCGCGGCTCGAGAACAAGGTTCCTGAATCGTGTGGCTTCAATCGGATCCGCATTATCTATCCACCATTTTTTTTAAATTATTTTTTGGTGCAAAAAGTAACGAATGATTTGGTGGATGAGATCCAGTGCGGACATCTACACTGCTTATAGACTGAGACCTTCGTACACGTGGCAATTTCTGTGTCCTCGTTTTTCCAAAAGAATATTAAGATATGGGTCTTGCTTAGAAAAGTTTTATTGAAAATTATAATAAACTCACGCTTAAATATAATTTTACTCTTTGAAAAAATGAATAAATTTTTTTATTCCGTAAAAAAAAATTCTTTAATTTTTTTTTTCAAAAATTTAGTAATGCTGTTTTTATTTTTAATTATTATGTAATTATTTGCAACTACTTAATAGTTTATTAAAAGCTAAGTGATGTTATATTAATGTATAACATGTATAAAATTTGTTTTGGGTCTTTAAAATGAAGGTTATTGTCTATCCTAAAATTATCATTAGTGACAAAAATAAATAATTTTAATTTTTAGTACAAAAATAAATAATTTTAATTTTTAGATAATAAAAATTAAAAATATTTATATTTTTCAGAAACTAAAATCAAAATTTATTCATTTTATAAAGATGAAATATATTTTACAAAAACTAAGAATAATGTGTTAAGTCAGACAAAGACGAAAGCAATTCTTAGCAAGGTTTTGAATGAGACAAATATAATATGTATTTTTATTTCTAATAAGTGCGCTAGTGTTTCAGATAAAAGTACAAGCAAGTTAATATGCATCCACACCAGGATAAAGAGACATGAGCCAAGTACTGGATAAAGACTGAGCAAACGAGGGGAACACATCAGACGAAGACAGTCACAAACACAGACACAAAAGAAATAAAGAAAAAGGACATGAGCAACCAAGATGGTGGACAAAAACTAAGTTAAAACATACCAGATGGAAACTCGAATACACAGACGAAGATTAAGAAAAAGTGATTGCGTCTGAAGACACAACGAGACAAACTACCTAGCATACATACTCTTAGAAGAACACATGAAGACATCAAAACAAAAGAAGAAAGAAAAAATGGGCGAAGCGCTTATTCACAAACTGCGTGTGTCAGAGCAAGTACACCTACCAATCAGCAAAGGACAACACTTCCATCGCTGCAATATCAAGAAAATACAAAGATATCTTAATGCCAGTCAGAAAAGCAAACATATAGTACAAAAGATCTCGTGAAACGCAGATTCAGCAAGCAAACATTTAATGTAAAATCAAAGGCATTAAATGCAACAATCCATGTACAAACTAGATGGAAGAACCAAATGCTAATCAAGCATAAAAAAGAAGTCTGCTCACGGACGGAAGAGGACTATCACTAGAATGAGATATTAAAGTATCAGACGAAGCCTATGAGGAATAGTCAAGGTAAGACACGAGCCAGACAAGTCGAGACAGATAAAGCAAGTGATGTAGGAAACCGAACGTCAAAAGATGAGTAGTTGAAACACGAATATGCACCAGATGATCACAAAATATCCAGACAAAGTTGTGTCAAGTGCAACTGCTCTAAAGCACAGATTAGACGTGGCATATGTCTATAGACAGAAGAAATTCAATCGTACATCAAGACCAAGATCAGCACAGACTAAAAGACACTCTAGACAAAGACAAGTCTGTCTACAATACTAACCAGACCATATAAGATGCCAAAGCATCAACATCAAATACATAGATGAAGAAAAAGACAAGAGACGCATGAGATTAACAGACGCAGACGAAGTGTCGCGCAAACACTTATCAAATCTCAAAAGACTACTCAGAGCATCGTCCATGATCACACAAAAGCTTTCAGCATAAAATGCGTATGAAGAAACAAAGGAGAAGAGAAGCACACAAAAGTAGAGCATGCATGTGTTAGAAAAAGTGCATTATTTTTTCAAAAAAGGACAACGGCTATATTGCTGCATGACTAGAAAAAGACAAATAATTTATGGGTCTTAGATAAAGTCAAACACTGCAGTAACAGGACAAAGAAGAATACATGCAATGTCTAAGAACCAGAAGCAACATTTAATGCAAGACCAAATGCATTAAATGAAAGGATTAAACTAGTCATGAACGACTATATTAGCTTCAACGGACATATGCGACGGAATATCTAAGAACCAGAAGCAACATTTAATGCAAGACCAAATGCATTAAATGAAAGGATCAAACTAGTCATGAACAACTATATTAGCTTCAACGGACATATGCGACGGGTAAATTTAACAGGCCTATAAGTATACAATAACATCAAACCGAAAAAGTGGGCAAGAAGCAACGAAGGGATAATCATAGGCTTTGCCCTGGGCATTTGATGAGAGAGATGATAGAAAGCCCACAAGACAGAGGGACCAGAGATGAACGTTCGTAATCATATACTCAATGTAATATTGCATTGTTATCTCTGTAGACTAAGGTGCTCAAAATGTCAGTCATGAACAAACCTTAGTGAGTATTGTAAACCTATGTATTCTCTCCTTGAGAGTAATCCAAACACTCAAATACGAGCCTCTATACGACTAAGGTAGTGAAACCTTAACGAGTGTAGAAAGTTCCCAATCCTCTCTGTGAGAGTAACCCAAACACTCAAACCTGAATACAAATCTATCATGTGTAAAGCCTGAAGAGGTTAGGAAAAGAATACTTGTAAAGCCCGGAGGGGCTTGTCAAAGAATACTCACTGCTAGCTAGAAGTGGCTGATAAGAAAATACTAGCGTTGGTGAGTGAAACCGACGGGCCAGGAGTGATCGAGAATACTTGGAGAACCAAAAGTGATTTAAGAATACTAGCGCTGGTGAGTGAAGCTGGCGGGCCAAGAGTGGTTGAGAATACTTGGAGAACCAAAAGTGGTTTAAGAATACTAGCGTTTGTGAGTAAAGCCGACGGGCCAGGAGTGGTAAAAAATACTCAGGTCCAGGAGTGGACGACAATACTCAAATGTTCTTAAATTTGATATCTAGTGGAACCCTTTAGTTGAAGGAGACTGAACGTAGCTTAGTTGAGCGAACCAGTATAAAATGTTTGCATTACTTTTCCTATTTAACTAAGAATAAATCTTCCTTACTGAGTAAATCTTTGTGAAAAACTTCGTCCAATATTTACATACAGTTAAAACCTATTTTCAGACGAAGACGCAAGTTCGTTTAATAGATATATTATACTGAAAAGCTTTATCTACTGCTTGTCCTTAAACGAAACTATTTTAAAAAGGAAAATGTAAGAACTTCAATATTTATCATTCTGAAACATTTTCCTTAGCATACGATAAACCTTTCAAACACATTGACTTTATGTTAAACAAATTCTGCATAACAGTTTAACGTTTAAAAATGCATTGGACGAAGAACATTACTCTTACGAAAATGATTTGAAAATTCCTCCGTACACACACATATTCAACTCCCCTTCTATGTGTTTTTCCGCTAACTTCATAATGTTCACAAATTTATAAAAGATGAAAATCAAAGAAATTTTTTTACGAACACTAAAGTTAAAATTCATTTATTTTAAAATAACTTATAAAATATTTAATCTATAAATTTATATTAAAATATATACTTTCAATTCTTTAATTTGTAAGGAATCAAAAGTAGAAATGAAAAAAATGGAATAAATAAAAAAAGAATGCGTAGATACATTAATTAGCATTTTCCTAAATAGATTGGATAAATGTTTAAAAAGAATATATCGGATAAATAAAATTAAAAAAAAAAGAGAATAATTACATATGTAACTGGTATTTTACAATTTTAAATACGTGGGATATAATTTTTATGGCCCATTCAGGATATTGAGGATAGTAAAAGGCAAGCTCATGTGAATCAATTCGATTTACTGTGAGTTTAAGTTAGTTTGGGTGTGAAAGATTTTGTCTATTTTAATTATATTTGATTTGGTGAGTCAATTTATGGTAAATCATCTTAGTTTATCTAATATAATTTTTAAAAAAAATTTAAATGTTAATATATATAATTATAAATTAATATTATTAACTAAATGTTGTACAAATTAATTATAAAATTATAATAATTAATATCAATTTAATATAATTTATTAATATTTTATATAACAATTTTAATATTATTTAATATTATAATTATTAAATTGATTGTGGTTTTTTTTACATCTTTTTTATTTTTTTAATTTAAATAAGTCATCTCATTTAATTTATTAATTTATGATGAGTTAAACTAAATTATTTTAATTTTAATTTTTTAAAAAGTGAATCAAGTTAAATTATTTTGTTTATTATTCAATTTGTGAGTGATGAACTGTGATGGAATATCCAGTTTAACAATTCTAATAAGGCGATTCATCTGGGACATCACGAAGAGGTGGTAAAACTTTTTCGTGATTTTAAATTTTAATACCAAATTTTCAAACTTTTATATTATCATTAATAATTATTAATTATTTATATAACACATTAATTACTGATAAAAATTAATAAAATATCATATAAAAAATTATGACGTGACATAATTTATTACGTATGCAAGTTTATGGTTTAGGGTTTAACTAAATCACATCTAATATAAATAGTTATGTTAATTAATTTAATTAAATTTATAAAATAAAATTATAATGTATCAATTTTATTTTTCTTATTTATATTAAATTTTTCCAGAAAAGATGAAGATATCATTCAATGTCAAAGCTTTTAACCAATACTAATAAAATAATTTGATAAATGATAATTAAAAAGCTTAAGTGAGACAAAGAACATTTATTTCTAAATTTCTCTTCTCATTATCCAATAACTAGTAGCACATGAGGATAAAAATTGGAAAACAAAATTAAAATTTTATAAAAATCATTAAGTGTCTCTATTACTTTCTTCTAACATATAATAAGAGTCAAAAAGATTAAATATGTGTTAAAATAAATGATAGCTCGACAAGGACCTATGGTCCGACCTACGTTAAACTTAAGACAAGTCAGACTTTTTTAGAGAATAGACTAGATTAAAACTTTTAGTAAAACCTATTTAATTAAAAATATTAGACTTTAGGTCATTTAAAAGCTTATTTAAATGAAATAAATAAATATTTATTATTATATCAAAATTGTTATAAAGTGTTAAAATTATACACTTTTTTATCTTAAGACTAGGGTTCGAACTTAAAGTCTTATGCATACTACCTCAACCCTCACTACTAAGACAAACTTAGTGGTAAATTATACATTTATTTATCTTTATAAAAATTTAAGATGTTAACTTATATAAAAAGTAAAAATAAGTTTATTCATCGATAAATTTATGTGGTATTTAGAGATCTCATTATAAAATATAGACTAAATTATATTTTTGGTCATTTTTTTTTTATATATTCATTTTAGTCCTTTATTTATCAAAATGTTCATTTTGATTATTTATATTTTATATTTGGATTGATTTGATTATTTTAAAATAACAATAATTTTTAACTTTATGACACGATTTTGAATTATTTTTTAACTGATTTAAAACGTGAAACTTATACATTAAAATTTTCTATATAAAAACTATAAAATTCAATTAACATTCAAATCTAAAAGGATTATATAAATATAGCAAAAATCATGTAAAAATATATCCTACAAACAATTAGGAAATAATATGAAATTAGATGTTTTTAATTTTTTGATTACTTTCTTTGATTTTCACAATGTTCATATCACTTTTATGTTTAAATTTCAGTTGTATTCAATAGTTTTTATATAAATGAATCTAATCAGTCAAGTTTTAAGTCTTTAATCGGTAAAAATAATTCAAAATTATCTTAAAATAGAAAATAAGCATTGTTTCAAAAGAAATAAATTAATTTAAATTTAAGAGATAAATAACTAAAATGAACCATTTAAAAGGTAAACAAGTAAAATGAATATAATCTAATAAACAAGAAACAAGATCAAAAGTATAATTTAATCAAAAATATATTTTAAATAAGTTATGTTAGACTAGAAAATATGATTAAAATATATTATGAATATCATGTTAAACTTTAAAAGTATACTTATATCATAATAAACAAGTTACATTCCATTAAAATATATAGGACTTAACATATTTTTACTTCTACATTAGTGTTAACTTATTACAAAATAGACTTTTAAAAGAGTTGGTAGGTCATGCTAGATTTTTATATAGGTCATGATGCAACCTTTTAAAAAACCTATAACACATAAACATGTGAAACTCAAATCATTTATACTAAAGCAAGTTAGATTCAGACCCAGAAAAATCTAATTCGGCCCAATATATTTTTATCTAGAGATAACATCTTATTGTTTATAGATATGAAATTCACAATGTTCTAAAATTGGCAACTAAAAATTAATATAAACTTGTAAGACATAATTTTTATTTATTAAATATTATTTAACAAAAACGATAATTAAACTAGGGGTGAGCATTAAACCGACACCCGAACCGAACCCGAAAAATCCGAAAAAAAATATAGTTTTTGGGTGGGTTCGGGCGGGTCTTATGGGTAAATCGGGTTAAAATTTTGATTTTATACGGGTTATATTGGGCGGGTTCGGTTTTGAATTTTTAAACCCGCTAAAAATCGAACCCAACCGAAAATGAGATAAGTTTAAATTTTTATTATTTTTGTATAACTAAACAACAATGGTCCAAATTTAAAAGTCTTTATTTCAAGTATAATATAGCCATCAATATGTAACTTATTTTTTTCCTTTTTCTCATAACTTAGATATTTATTTTGTCTTCTCCTTCCTCATTCAACTTCTCAACACACTAGTCCATTTTTAGAGTTATCTTTTTGCTTCTTTCTTTGTCTTTCTTTTCCATCTTCTTATCTCCATTTTGAGTACATTTTGTGTGACTGTGATTTCTTATGGTTTTGTAATCTAACTTTATATTTCTTTTCCATGTAACAACTATGAATTTTGTTATCTTTTATTTTTGCTTCTTTAGTTTGTAAATGTTTCAACTACGAATCTATTTACACCATCTATTGTCACCTTCATTCTATTTTTATACACTATTTTAAAAATATTTTTTATCGTTTTAAGCTTCATCTTCGTTAAGATAAATTGGTCTATAAAAAAATTCAAACCCGATTATACCCACCCGCTTAAAACCGAACCCGTTTCAACCCGAACCGCCTCAAATCGAAAGCTCAGTCGGTCGGATATGGGTCACATTTTTTCAAAGTCGGTTTACAACGGGTTGGACATTTTTCACCCGAACCCGACCAAACCCACCCGTTGCTCACCCCTAAATTAAACTTATAAGCATTGGATCAAGGGATTCGCATCCGAATAACTAATAAAATAAAATAATATATATACAAAACTTTAAAAATAAGGAAATATATAAATCCAAAATTAAATAATAAAATTCTAAAAAACGTGAGACAAAAAGTACGATCAAGTAGATGAAAGAAATATCATATGAGATGATGGGCACTTCTGGCTTGGAGTTTGCCACAAGTTCCAAACACCACTCACCACACAAAACTCCTCAAAACTTCACTTTGTTTGAACTGCTTTGCGTCGATAATCTAATTCAATGGCTTCTTCTACATGCGCTCTCTCCCCCTCATTCCGCTCACAACTCACTAAAACCACCCTCGTTGCTCCACTCCCTCTCTATCAACGTAAACCACTTCCACCTATCTCTCTCTCTCTCTTTGCTATTTTTTAGTACCTTTCGTTGCTGAGTTTTGGTGTTGTTTGAAGGAAGCAAGTGCGAAATGAGCAGAAGGGCTTTCGCGGTTAAGGGAATTGTGGCTTCCGGCGTTTCCGTCGCCGCTTCTACTCTCACCGCCGAAGCAGAGTCGTCTTCCAAAGGTTAGTGAACGCTGTCCCACGCTCAACTCTGTCAAATGTGGGTTTATTAATGCTCATGGAAGGAATTTGATTTGGTTTCAGGTTTTGAGAGATTACCATACAAACCGGAAGGGTACAATTATTGGACATGGAGGGGTCATAAAATTCACTACGTTGTGCAAGGAGAAGGCTCTCCCCTTGTACTTATTCATGGTTTTGGGGCCTCTGCATTCCACTGGAGGTTTGGTTTTCTTTTTGCATCATTTCTCTTTTATCCCAATAGTTTGCCTTCGTTTGAGAAATACTAGTTATACTTTCACTCTTGCACTTTACGTTGGAGATCTCACGTCAATTAGAGATAAGTTTTGAAGGGTGACAAAACTCAATTTTTTAGATGGTATCAATTGTCATTGGACTTATGGTGTCATTCACTATGGAATCACCTTCAGACGTGTAGTCTAGCGAATTTCACATTCGAGATGATTAGTATTAGGTGTGTGTTATGGATCCTACATCAACTAGTGATATAGTCAAAATAAAGTATATAAGTTAGAACAATTCTCACCTTATATGTAGTGTTGAGTTGGGCCCAAACACATACTTGAGACCTCCGTTAAGAAATTGAACTATATTATTTAGCTGAAATTTATTAGAAATCACAAAATAGTGTAGATTTCCCTTCTTATTTAACAACTCAAACTTTAATTTCGTATTTTTAATAAGGACAAAACTTGGGTAAAGTTCCTTGAGTGCAGTTGATGTTATTCTTGAATCAAAGTTGAAGTCTTACTTTGTTAGTATGTATAAATGTATATTAATGAGATCTATATTAAATGCAATGCATAATTATGAGGTAAAACTCTAATTTTGATTGGAGAACAAAACAACACCAACCATACTACCTCCATACTAACACTACCTCCATTCCTTCTTAATTGTCAATTTTTTAGTAAAATTTTGTTTTAATTTATTTGTCGTTTTCAAAGTTCAAGACTACATTAATTACTGTCTTGTCAATTATACCCTTACATATCACCTAATTCTTAATTAATTTACACTTACAACTAACATGTATTTATTATGGAACAAAATAAAAGAGTGCACAATCAAAAACATTAAAATCATTGTATGGAAAATAGAAAAATTTATTACGTTTCTTGGTTTGTGTATAAATATAATAACCTTAAACAACTTTTAAAAAGAAAGGAGTGTGTTAGAAGATGTGTGGTTAGCATTCCAATCAAAACTTTAGTTTTTGGCCTAGGTTTTGGGTCCTTATACTTTCATTTGTATACGGTTTAGGTTTTGGTCAATTTACTTTAATTCCGTTAAAATGTTGATACTTATAGTTTTGCAGACATTAGTCGTGATGGTTGTCTTTAAGGGTAGATTTGGTGTCATATTAATGCTGACAGGGATCAAAATCTAAATGGAATGGAAGTATGTGGAAAAAAACACCCTTTTAAGGTATAGAAACCATAATTAAAATTGAGATAAGCTGTAGGGATTAAAAATGTGTTTTCTTTCTTTGGTGGCTTAGTTTTCACTTTTCAACCATGACGAAATGTTATGCCTTTCTTGTTTCCTTGTTTAATTGCTTAAATTATACTTGAGTAAAATGAAAAATACCTGAAGATAAGCAAAAAGAAAGAAAAAAAAAGTGTGTTCATTTTTATGAGGTGTTTAGATCAGTTGTTTTTATTTTAACCTCATCAATATATAGCATGTAATGTGCTACAACAAGATGTTAATGTCACTATAGCTCCTTCTTGTAAGATAAGAAGCATGAGTGGTTCTGTTCTGTCTTTTGTGGTGTATACAATTTTGATTAGAATCCAATCTTTGTTGGTGTTGGTGGCTGCAATTGTGATAGGAATATACCTTCTAAGTGGGACAAGCCTTTTAAGACTTATCACTGAAAGCCCAAATAGTATGGGGCCTAATTGTCTTTTGCTGAAGAGTCGGTTAGAAGAGAGAGAGGGAGTGTTATGTGATTCCGTTATATAGGGATTGGTTATGGGGGATTATGTCAGAATTGGAAATAAGAATTTGGAGTCAAGAGAACCTTTCTTTGACTTGGGGGAGCCTAGCTCTCATTTCAGCCATATTTCTTTTGTTTCTCTGCCATTTCTCTGTTTCTTCTACAGGTACCTTGGTACATCACGTATCATTGGTGCTTTCATTGAGAGATTTCCATATATCGTATGCAAACGAGAATGGCGTCACGCATCGAAAATGCCGAGTCCAAGATTGCTTGTATTGAATCCATTGTTAAATCCCATGAACAGCTCTTGAAAGAGCAATCATCCCAACTGAGCTCTCTTCTTACAACTATCACTGAGTTGTCTAAATCTGTGGCTGCCATGTGCACAGAGATGCGTGAAACGATGCCGCGATTTTCCTCCACTGGAAACGCAACAACCCATTCTACTGCGATCTTTTCCTCACCAGCAGGCTCTTCGATGACCCTCGATTACTGTTTATCATCCAAACCTGTCGAACTCCCTTCGTTCAACGGCGAGGACCCTGTCGGTTGGCTCGCGAAGGCTGAAACCTACTTTGCGGTTCAGAATACCCCACTGGACATGCAAATCCAGCTTGCTCAAATCTCCATGGACGGGATGACGTGGCATTGGTTCAAGGTATTGAGTGATTTCGATCCTCATTTGACTTGGGCCACCTTCAAACGCACACTCAAGTTGCTTCACCAAACAGCCACCATTAATGAATATGTAGAAGCTTTTGAGGTCCTCACGGCACAAATTTCCCCTCTCACTGAGGAGCAATATATGGGGTTTTTCCTCAGGGGTTTACGTGAGGATATACGCTTGGAAGTGTTGACGTTTGAACCTCCCAATCCTCATCGTCTAATATCAGTTGCTCGTTTGATTGAATGAAAATTGGATCGAGTCACCACTCATGGGAGCACTTCAGGATGGAGACAACCCACTCTGTAAAGTAAGTCAAGTTCTTGTTCCTCCGTTAATGGGCCTATTAGTAGAGCCTAATCTGCAAGTGGCTCTAATGAATCACATAATAGAGGTTCTAGATCTAGACCCAATCCTCCTGGCCCAACCTCTTCTCGGTCCAATACTCGTAACCTCTCCTATCCAGAATTAATGGAACGCATAAATAAAGGCCTCTGTTTCAAGTGCGGTGGTAAGTGGGGTCCAACCCATGTCTGTCCAGATCGTCACTTGCGTCTTCTTATTTGGGAAGGTGAAGAGGATGAGGTTGTGCCTAGCCCCGATTCATCAACCATCCGTGAGGATCAACCGAACATAGATGTTCAAGACATGGCCTGTCAAGTTTTGGATTACTACGCCTTGGATCCAGGAGAGTTGGCACGATCCAAAACCATCAAGTTAGAAGGGATGTTGGCTGGATACCCCATCCTTCTCTTGGTTGATAATGGTGCGAGTCACAATTTTATGGCACGGGAATTGGTGAGTTCTTTGAATTTGGAGGTCATGCAGACAAAGGCATTTTCTGTTGGACTTGGTAATGGGAGTTCGTGTTCGTCTCAAGGAATTTGTAGAGAACGTGTGAAGTTGGGTCGCTACACAATTATGATGGACGCATATGTATTAGACTTGGGTGGCGTGGATATTGTTTTGGGAGTGGAATGGCTCGAGAAATTTGGACGAACAACAATGGATTGGCAAAAGAAGACGATTAGTTTTGAGGACAATGGCCAATTGATCACATTGAATGGTCATCACTTTAAGGACATCCATCGTTCTCTGGCTCTGCAAGGCTTGCTACATGGGGTCGCGATGGAGGATATTACTCTCTATCAAGTGAACTCCCAAGTCCTCTCCCTTGCTGATGATCCTGCGTGGCAACACGTTTTAGAGCAACATGCCTCTGTTTTTGCAACAAGAAAGGAACTACCACCACAACGTACTCACGACCACTCTATTACACTGTTACCAGGTTCCAAACCAGTTAGTGTCAGACCTTACAGATATGCCTATCATCATAAGGATGAGATTGAAAGACAAGTGGGAGAATTGATGTCCGAAGGATTAATCCGTCATTCATTGAGCCCTTTTTCTAGTCCAGTTATATTAGTTGAAAAGAAAGATGATTCTTGGCGTATGTGCGTGGACTATAGAGTTTTGAACAAGGTGACAGTGTTGGACAAATACTCGATACCAACAATTAATGAGTTAATCGATGAATTACATGGGTCTCAATTCTTCTCGAAGATTGATCTTAACTTGGGTTTTCATCAAATTCGAATGCAAGAGACGGATATCCATAAGACTGCCTTTAGGACCCATGAGGGTCATTATGAATATTTGGTCATGCCGTTTGGGTTGGTCAATGCCCCTTCAACGTTCCAATCCACCATGAATTCGGTCTTCCGCCCTCTTCTTCGTCGGTGCGTTCTAGTCTTCGTTGACGACATTCTGATTTATAGTCTAGATTGGCAGTCTTACATTTCCCACCTCCATGATGTGCTGAGCTTGTTATCTTCCCATCAATTTGTGGCAAATCACAAGAAATGTTCCTTTGGTTTTTGCTCTGTTGACTATTTAGGACATGTAATTTATGGGAGAGGCGTTGAGATGGACCCATCTAAGGTGAAGGTTGTGATGGATTGGCCTACCCTGCTCAATGTGAAGGATGTGCATGGTTTTCTAGGTCTCACTGGATATTATCGATGTTTCATTAAGGATTATGGCAAGTTGGCTCAACCATTAACTGAAACTACTAAGAAGGAGGGTTTCTTTTGGGGTCCGACTCAGGTGAATGCTTTTGAATGCCTCAAGCAACGATTATCCTCTTTTCCAACTTTGGCGTTGCCGGATTTCACTAAGGAGTTCTTCATTGAGTGTGATGCTTCTGGTCATGGTCTCGGAGCAGTCTTGATGCAAGATAAGCAACCCATAGCTTATTTTAGTAAGGCTCTTTCACCATGCACTATGTCAAAATCTGTGTATGAGAAGGAAATTATGGCTCTGGCACTCTCTGTTCATCACTGACGGCATTATCTTTTGGGGAGGAGCTTCAAAGTTTACGCAGACCACCGAAGTTTGAAACAACTCCTTCAGCAACGTCTCACCACAACTGACCATGGTAGTAAGTATCGTAGGAATCGCGATTCGTATCGTACGATACGATACGATTCCGTGCTTCAGCGATTCGAATCGCATGGTGTATCGTTTTTGATCCTGAATCGTTTTCGAATCGTTTGTATCGGGTTTAGAATCGGAAAATCGCGATTCTGGAAGGTCTCGCACGATTCTGGGAAGAAATGGGTCGCGTCCGAAACCGGGTCGGGTCATGCGCGACCCGGTTCTGAAAACCCTAAAAAAAATGTTTTTTTTAAATAAAAAAAGACGAAACTGAGACAGAAAATGCCGATACCCATTCCTGTACATGACCCACTTAGTGGGTTTCACTTTTAGTGGTCCCTTTGTCTCGTCCAGGTTCGCAGCTTCGTTTGGATGGCTGTTTGGGTTGCTGTTCTTCGTGTTAGTGGTCCACTTGTTGCTGAGTTTATGCAGCAACAACACTAATATTTTTTTTGGGTGGCTATATTGCTGATTAGAGTAGCAAACAGTCCCTTGTATATGTATATATTTAGCAACAACAATGATTTTTTTGGAGGCTTTGTTGTTGAACTGTACAGTCATTTCTTTTGGCTTTGAGACTGTTATTATTTGTATAATTCTATCTTTGTTTGTATTTTGAAGCTTATATATTACTATATATTTATGTATGACTTCATTTTGTCTGTTTCTTTATATTAAAATGTGCTTAGAGTGCTTTTATATGTCTTGTATGCATATATATACACTATGTTTTTATTGATCATGAATCTTATGATTCACGATACGATTCGATTCACGATTCAAAAAATAAGCTTTCCGATACATTATGTGTATCTCGATTCAACTACCATGCAACTGACCAACAATTTTGGCTGGCTAAACTCATGGGGTATCAATTTGAGGTCATATACAATCCCGGTCCTAACAATAAGGCTGCTGATGCATTATCTCATAAATATTCAATTCCTGAAATTAATACTATCAGTATAAGCCCTTTTTGGGTTGATTTTCCCAAAATCAGAACAGAAGTTCAGAATGATCCAGAAATGCTCCGTTTGATCCAAACCTTGCAATCTGACCCAAACTCAACCCCCCACTATGTGCTTCGGGATGGTTTGATATTTTTCAATGGTCGCCTAATGTTGCCTAAATCGTTTACTTTAATTTCCTCCCTTTTGACTGAGTATCATGACACGGTTACAGGGGGACACTCTGGATTCACTAAGACATACAAGAGGTTAGCTTCTTCTTTCTTTTGGAAAGGAATGAAGGCATCAATTATGGCATGCATACGCCAATGTGATGTGTGTCAACGCAATAAGTATGAGGCAATGTCTCCCAAAGGTTTACTCCAACCTATCCCTATTCCAGAGATCATTTGGGATGATGTCTCCCTTGATTTTATTACCAACTTACCTCGATCACAGGGGCATGAAGTGATTTTGGTGGTAGTGGATCTTTTATCTAAATATGCCCATTTCATTGCCTTAAAGCATCCATACACAGGTCGGACAGTGGCAGAAGCTTTTGTCAAGGATGTTGCTAAATTACATGGATTCCCAAAGTCTATTTTAAGTGATAGGGATCCTCTTTTTCTTAGTAAATTCTGGAGTGAGTTATTTTGCCTTCAGGGAACGGTGTTGCGCATGAGCACCACTTACCACCCTCAAATAGATGGTCAGACCGAGGTGGTTAACCGTTGTTTAGAGACCTTCCTCCATTGCTTTGCTTCAGAGCACCCCTCCAAATGGTATATGTGGCTGTCATGGGCAGAATTCTGGTACAATACTTCAACTCATTCTACAACTGGTAAATCACCCTTTGAGATTGTTTATGGATGCTCTCCTCCCACTATGCTTCGTTTTTTGAATGAGGAAACTCAGGTGGCTGCTATAGCAACAGTGCTCATGGACCGTGACGAGGCTCTTCGCCAACTCAAATTCCATTTGCATCGGGCTCAACAGACAATGAAGAAATATGTTGATGCTCACAGGAGGCATGTGACTTATGTTCTGAGAGATTGGGTGTTTGTGAAGCTTGTCCTCATAGACAACAATCTGTTGTTCGAAGAATCAATCCCAAGTTGTCTCCTCGTTACTATGGACCCTTTCAAGTGTTGTCACGTGTCGGAGAGGTGGCCTACAAACTTCAGCTTCCAAACTCTGCTCATATTCACCCAGTTTTTCATGTTTTGCAACTTAAAAGGTCCGTGAAGAGTGGGTCGGCTACTACTACTCTACCTCCAGGACTGGTTGTTACTGAATCTGAATCCCTAAGCCCTGAAGCTGTTTTAGCTACCAGGGTCAGCAAGTACCAAGGAGACTTAGTTGAAGAATGGCTGATTCTGTGGAAATCACAACCTGCAGAGGAAGCCTCTTGGGAGAAGGCAGCTTCTATCAAAGAGAAATATCCCAATTTTTGCCTTGAGGACAAGGCAACTTTCATAGATGGTGGTATTGATAGGAATATACCTTTTAAGTGGGACAAGCCTTTTAAGACTTATCACCGAAAGCCCAAACAGTATGGGGCCTAATTGTCTTTTGCTGAAGAGTCGGTTAGAAGAGAGAGAGGGAGTGTTATGTGATTCCGTTATATAGGGATTGGGGAATCATTTGTGGGGGATTATGTCAGAATTGGAAATAAGAATTTGGAGTCAAGAGAACCTTTCTCTGACTTGGGGGAGCCTGGCTCTCATTTCAGCCATATTTCTTTTGTTTCTCTGCCATTTCTGTGTTTCTTCTGCAGGTACCTTGGTACATCACTTATCAAATTGTCTGTCTGGTAAGATCATTTCTTCATATGTGGAGATAGTCATGACTCATATCTTTGTTTATATCTCCAGGTACAACATTCCAGAATTGGCTAAGAAACACAAGGTATACGCCTTAGACTTGATTGGATTTGGGTGGAGTGACAAAGCACTTATCGAGTATGATGCCATGGTTTGGAGGGATCAAGTGGTGGACTTCGTGAAGGAAATAGTAAAAGAACCAACAGTTTTAGTTGGAAATAGGTAAGAACTATATTACCTGAATTAACGTTACAGTGTTAGGCTGAAAGCCTGATTTTTCTTCATTCCACAAGTTTCAGTGTTTGTTTTCCATTCATGGTTTTCCCCTAACTCTGAATACATACTCTGTTGTCTCATGCATTAGTTGGTTTTCCTCTCAAGGCATGCGACAATGATTATGTTGTTTCCCTCAGCAACAGATATTTCATCAACTAGAAAAAATATTTGCAAAATTATTTTCAGCAAATTAAAGTCTCAAGTATTATGTTGTTGAATTTGGTTGTTGCAATGTTTATCTTCTCCTTACTTCTGACCGTGTGTTTGGAAAACCGGTGGAGACGTGATAAACCACATCCAATGAGAAGCAACTTCAATTAGCTTCTACGTATTTTAATGTTTAGGCATGAAGAGAGACTCAAAACATGTTTCAAAATTCATTCCAAACACCCATTGAGTTGCCTAATTGATGAGTTCACAGCTGCAGGACCAACATTTATTTGCAGTAAATTACAAATTCAAATTTGTTTTATCTATAGCATTGACAATTTTGCAATGTGTGCTATAAAAATAAAAAAATATGATATTTGTCTCAAATCCTCAATCATGATAATTTTTCAGCCTTGGAGGATTTACTGCTTTGGTTGCAGCGACTGGGTTGCCTGAGCTTGTCAATGGTGTTGCTCTACTAAATTCTGCGGGACAATTTGGCGATGGGAAAAGGGAAAGTAAAACTTCTGAAGAAACACCTCTACAAAAGCTTGTCCTAAAACCTTTGAAGGAAATTTTCCAGCGTGTAGTTCTTGGATTTTTATTCTGGCAGGCAAAGCAACCAGCTCGGATTTTGTCAGTCCTAAAAAGTGTAGGTTACTTCCTATCTTTTCATTAAAGCATACTTCTGTTATCAAAATGGTAGGATATTTTTATCTTAATAATCATATTGACGGAGGTTTTTTTGTCTTTGGTGGGGCTGCTTATTCCCCTTTCAGTAACTTTCTTCTGTTTTTTATTATCTTACTAGTTGATTTGCCAATCAAACACTTTTCTATTTAATTTAATGAATACATGTTTTGACTGCATGTGCAGGTGTATATAAATTCTTCCAATGTGGATGACTATCTTGTGGAATCTATAACAAGGCCAGCTCAAGATCCAAATGCCGGAGAAGTTTATTACAGGTACCATGTCCATCCTAAACAGGAGAATCACACCATAAAAGTTAACCATTGTAGTTGGAGAGTCTAAGGACTTCTAAACACCATGGCTGACTAGAGTTCTATACATCCAACGTGGGACTCAACTCTCTTTCAATTGAATTCAAACATGCCACCATGCTCTACTGCCCCCAATTCCACATGAGCTGGCTGTGCATTGGTTCCTTTAATTACTCTCGGGAAAACACTGAAATGCATCACCAAGTGTGCTGCACATTTGCAACCTGAGAGGCATGGTAAAAAGGTATAAAAATCTTTAAAGAACCACACCACAAAAACTAATCATTATAGTTGGAGAGCGAGACTAGAGACCTTGTAAATCCTACATAGAATCCCCGTACTTCCTATCCATACCTTGCAATTGGATCCTAATAATGTGCTACATATTTCTATTTTGGTTTCATCTTGGTATATATGGGTAGAAACATGTTGTCTCAAGCTTTAGCAATGTAAATAAGCAGAGGGGATGCTGATGCTCTAAACCAATAAAACAGCCTTTATTGTGGCCTTAGTGGTGTTTTGTGTAGTTCTCAGAATCTTACGATTAATACAATTAGGCAACCTACTGATTCCTATCATAAGATGAATTTAAAATGACTTCATATCTTACAATACATCAATGAATCTATGCAATTTTATATCATTAATATGAATCATAGGATTCAACGATTCATTTTTTTTTCTTTTTTTATAACTCACCGATTCTTATGAAAAATTGAAAAGTCATATAAGCTTAAATTGTTAATTAAAAAGGAATTAAAGGAACACTTATGAACTTATCCTATTTGAATATTTTAATATTCAATTTGTCACTCATTTAATGCATATAATGTATTTAACTGTAAAGCCAGCCTCACGCTGTGCCTTCGACTTTAGGAACAAGGAGACCCGAGCCTTCGCCAAAATCCCATTGCTCAGCTCCTAACTTGGAGTGGGCAGGCCTGCATTATGCATCTGCCAGCCCAACCGAGCATAGAACAAGCCATGTCCCATCACTTTATTGCCCCCACTTGGGTTACCAATCTATTTAGCTATTTACTTGCTTCGTTTCCATTCTTCTAAAATAAAGATTTCACTAACTCAGATATAACTAATAATTTTGTTCTACAAGACTTTTGATGAAGTTTTTATCTATTTCTAGTTTAAAATTTTTGCACTGAACACTATATATCATCTATATTATATATTTGAAGTAATTTTTTATTGTCTTTGAATCTTACGATTCCATACAAATTATGGTTTATGATTTAAAAATTAGCTTGCCAATTCACGATTCGAATCCTGATTTGATAACCTTATCAGTTTCTTTTCCTAATTATTCCTTTTTATTTGTTTTTACTTGGCCCAATGTTGTCTACAGGTTAATGACACGCTTCATGATGAATCAAAGCAAGTACACTCTAGATGCTGTTTTAAGTGAACTCTCTTGCCCACTGTTGCTGCTTTGGGGTGACCTTGACCCGTGGGTTGGTCCAGCCAAAGCTAATCGAATCAAAGAGTTTTATCCAAAAACAACTCTTGTAAACTTGCAGGCTGGGCATTGTCCACATGATGAAACACCAGAGCTTGTGAACAAGGCTTTATTGGATTGGTTGACCACCCTCACTCCTGAAGTGACTCTTCAAACGGTTTGAACGTGTATAATTTTGTAAAGCCAATCAAAAACAAGTTCTTGATTAAGTTTTTAGTTTCAAGTAGTTCAATAGTATTTATCAGCATACGTTCTGTACAAAGAACCGGGTAAATGATAGCCGGGATAGAGGAAAACGATAGCAAGAATACATTATTATCACCGTTCTGCATACCTGTACATTTTTCAAGATCATGTATGCATTCATTTCTTACATAAAACTATTTGGTTAATCAACTAGTTTAAATGTTTACACTGTGACTTTTCTCCTCCAGGCATTAGCGAATCAGAGTAAATCTGATTGTTTCCCGATCACTACATTTCTTGCTATATACGTATCTTTCACATTTCTTTAATTTTTTTTGGTGCAAACTTGCTTGTTAGATCTGGTTATAAACAAAACGAGGAGCTGTTTTGTTTAAGAAAATGTTGCTTTATTTTTATTTTTCTAATTATACTTCTAATTAGAAAAAATTGTTATTGTAATTTCACATTAATTTTTTTTTCACTATCATTTAAACAAAAATTCGAAAACAGATAGTATATTTCTTTTTATCAGTCAAACAAACATTCATTCAACATAACATACTTCGAAAGTAGATAGTTTCCACATGAATGTACAAGTTCATACTTATTTCTATATTTTGTCATGCTTAAATTTTTAGTTGGATAAATTTCTCTATAAACATTTTTAAGAGAAGAGAATAAAAAGAAAAAATAAAATTAGTTTTATTTATAAGTTAATTTATATAAAAGTTAAAAAATGTATTTTTGGAAAAGTTAATATGTGATAACTTCAAACTCAACAAAGTCTAATTATGGGAGAAACTCTGACAATTCTCCCCATTTGGCAGATAAATAATCTATCACTCTTGTAATAGTCTCTCTGTCTCCCTCTTGACTCTCATTTCTATTCATGAATTTCTATTTCTTATCACTAATTAGTAGGTCTAACTGAATTAAATTCCTAGTTTGGTTCGATTCAATTTCATAGCATAGGAACAGAGTTCGATTGAGTGGTGCTAAACAGTCAAATTTTATAATACAGTGCATTGAACCAAAGAAACAGCTCAGTTTCAACTAAATTAATAATTGCAACTAATCTAAATCTGTCATTCCCGACTCTTTTGGTAACAGACAAAATGGACACAAAAAAAAATAAAAATAAAATAAGAATTCCATTGCCGAGAATCGAACCCGGGTCTCCTGGGTGAAAGCCAGATATCCTAACCGCTGGACGACAATGGAATTGATGTTAGAATTGCATTTACATTTATAATAATAATTCACAATGACTTTCTACATCATAACATTTTTTTAATAAAGAAAGAAAAACTGTTGTTTGGAGACTCAAGGAAAGTGCTATCCCTCTCTCTCAGACCATCATGGTTGACTAAGTGACTTCATTATTCACACCATGAAGATTTTAATTTATAGTGACCCCAATATTCAATCATTTTATGCTACATACTATAATATTGCGCAAAACAAGGGAGCTACTCAAGTCATCATAGTCTGTCGCCCTTAATAATGTCCTTAAAGTGTTCCCCAACACACTTCTAGATGTTTTAGCTTTACCAAAAACAAGAAAAATTTATTATTATGCACGTATTTTTAGAAACTTAGTTTAGAATTATCACTTTGCTGAAACACCTAGCCATGTTTTATTTCTCATCTATTACCTTTATTTCTTACTAGTATATACCAACTCTAAGTTTTTTTTATATGTATAACGTTTTCTTATATGTATAGGAGTAGTGAGGTAGTATGATTAATATGCATGATTAGGCAAAGAAATTGAGTGGTATTTAGTGGAAGCATGATGAGTCTACGAATACGAGCTTTGGTAGACGTGACTCAAAATAAAGTAGAAGACACAAGGACCCACTACCCCACTTCTTTTTCTTTCAATTAGGTTAAATTGGTATCACCCTTCTATGATTTCTTGAATTCAAATCTTCTTGAACAGTAATACTACTGTAAAATATAATCATTTGACTTAAACGACGGAACAACTATGAGGACAGAAAGCTCACTCCAATGTGATTGGTCACCAATGAAAAAGCAACGAAACCGTTTGATTAGATTTGAATCTTACTTTTCTTTATCTCCATTCTCCCTTTTCTTTTCCTACACAAGCTTAACATCTTTGAATCTGTTTAGTTTCTAGAACCAAGAATACTTTGAATCTTAGGAACATGAAATGAATTAACTAGGAATAAATGTAGTAATAAGTTACTTATCCAAGAATATCATAAGTGTTCTCTAGTTATTAAATTATATTTTACTTATTTAAAATATTTAAAAGTTCAAATATATTTGATAAAATAAAAAAAATGTACAATTTAACATGTGATCATTAATGTACTTGTCTAAATGGCACACTAAGTCTTCTCGTAGTCCAAAGGCCGAACGAAGGCTCCGATCCGATACGTTGTTGAAGGGGTTGGTACATGCAAAAGGCACTCCAACGTTCAAGTCAGGACAAGCACGAATATCTAGGATAATTAATGAACAGTCACGTTACCTTTTGTCCTGAACTATTTATACTGACATTTATGGGCCCTGGACCCCATGGGCCTTACGACATATTTACCGTATTAGGTAATACACCTTAATCGACTAATTAACCTCTAATCTTTGATTAAGAGTATCAAATGATGATAGGCCGATCCTGGTGGCTGATTGACATTCAGCTTCCTGATTCTGCCATTCGGCGGCTGGTGGTGGCCGAACCCCCCTACCTGTACAATTAATATAATACATTGTTTATGAAAAATCGAAAGTGGGTTATTGGGAGGCAAACCCCAGAGTGACGATAAGCATAAAAGAAGACACCTTAATCCTATTGGGCAGATGAATCCACCAAAATTTTTACTATTAAGACTAAAATGTATTCAGAAATTTAGATTCTCGAGACTGGATTTCTTCTTTTTAGTGTACTTGTGGTCCATAATGTCTCAAATACAGATTGTTATTATGTATTTTTATATTGATAAGTATATCAGCTTAATACTTTATGAACCAATTGTATTTAGTTAATGATGAGAGACACAATGTTAACAATCAACTCGTTTTAAATTTAATTGATTGAAGTAGAAGGAGCCTAATTCCTTTAAACAAATGATTGTATGTTCAATCTCAAGATTCATGTGTATGACAAAAACCATTAATTGCTTTGAGTGCTTGCATTATCTCGAGAAGATTGTCTATCAATTTCTATGGGTTTAGAAAATATTTAAAAAATGTAAGAGAAGAGTAAATATCACAATTACACTTCGAATTGAAAAGCATATAGTATTTTTTTTCCTTTAAAAATTAAACAAAATCAAGTTAAAATCTAATGAATAATTTTTATTTTATCTTCTATGAAGAGTCCAGCTAATTGAAAAAGATATTCATTTTATTTTGGAAAGAAATTATTATATATAATTAATGTTTAACAAATTAATCTATACATATATTTGTTTTCCATAAAATATGAGGTAAAGTAAAAGACCAATATCTAGAAGTAAAATCTTTTATCAAAATGATCAATAGATAATACAAGTGAAAGAGACTACAATTCTTTTGAATCAAATTTTTTTTGTTCGTCCCTGGAGTATTTAGAGTCGATAGCAGTGACTAATCTCCTCGTTACGTTGGAGACACCTCAAAGGATGGGATAGTTAGCCTCAAGATTTAACGCGGCTGCATACACAAGATAGGATTTGAACCCCTAACCTTGCTTAAGCGTAGATTAAGTCCTACCGCTGAACCATACACTTGGAGTTTCTTTTGAATTAGATGTAAGACTGAATCAGATTCATTTAAAATAAAGCTCTAATTTTATTACCAAACCCTTGATAAATCATGATAAATGACTATTAGTTTCACTTAGACTTATAACAAAACTACAAATATCAATAAATTCAAATAACCAATTAACAAAATAATATCTTAAAATACCTCTAAAAACATGTTGCTACATGATTATCAAGAAAGCTTCTATCGCTAATAATATTAATCTTGATGAAAAGCATATAGTATAATATAATAAATTGTATTACCTACTTAACAATTTGTTGACAAATTCTTTAGCATCCGACATTGTTTGACTGTTCCATAACAAAACATGTATATAATCATTTGAAATATAATATATGGTTAATGTTAGGCAGAAGGCAGCATATATGTATTTTATCTCGGATTATTAAATCCCAGTCCCAGGAGCAAGAAAACATGCCACACTAAAATTTCTTATTAAATATTAGTAGTATATTGCAACCGAAGAAACGTGTCCTTTTATTACTTTTTTTTTTCATTCTTTTTTTATATATTTTTCTGTATCACGTGTAACTTTTATTGACTAAAAATAATTTTGCTCAACTTGAATAGAATTATTGTAGATAATAAAATTTTGTGCAGTTATATTTTTTATAACTTAAATTCAAAATTACTTGTTAAACTAAAATAATCTTAATTTTTCTGCAGTTTTTATTTTTTATTTTTTTTATTATTGAAGTCATGATGGATGTTTTTAACCAAAACTGAATTTGGATAAGCACAAAACCAAAAATAGGCAATTATAGATGATGAGACAACATCTAGAACTGATTAAAGCCATGGATTTTGATTTTTGAAAGTGAAATTATCTATAATCTCTATCAAGTCAACATTGAACTGAAAGCAACCATTAATTAGAGGTAGTGGGGCCTGTAATTCTCATCCACTCATGATCATCAGCAATAGCCTTCAAAGTTTAATGCTGGAATCTGCTATCACTATCAGAACCTTCTCAAGGTGATAATTGGATATGCATGTTAATACACATTACAATCTATTTCGTTACAAAGATAGATTTCCAAACCACCTTTAGCTATTTCTAGCATGCACCCTCTACAATTTCAATTCTCACATTTAATGTTCCTTGTCTTCTCTTATATATATATATATA